TGAACTTCCCTTAAAACATATTAAGTGTCTCCCGGCCTCAAGCATATGGCGAGTGGGCCATCGAATGTTCTACTGAACAGAGTACCTTCGGACAGGCTAAACCTGGCTACCTTCATCCGTAGAGCTCTCGATTATTTAGGATCCGAGGGCAACTTCCCAGTCTTCAAGTAGTCTATATACTTGTTTATCCAGTCCCAAGTTAAACTTGTTGAGTTTATTTCGGCATGGCCTTCTTCCACTACTGATTTCATGAGTTGTACGACCGTTCCTATGTTGAATTCATCGTCATAAACCGATGACCCCAGGTTGGCCAAAGTATCAGCTTCGCTATTTTGATCCTAAAATACGTGATGTAGGGTCCATTCCTTGAAACGATGCAGCGTTACCTATAATTTGTCTAAGTACCTTCGCATTCGTTCCTATTTTACTTCGAATGTCCTGTTGACTTGATTTACCACAAGGAGGGAGTCTCACTTAGCTTCGACCACTTCGCCCCCAGGCTTTTAGCCAATTCAAGACCTGCAATCATGGCCTCATACTCGGCCTCATTGTTAGTGAATTTCGCAGTTCTAATAAATTGCCTAACTACGTTGCCCGTAGGCAGTTTCAACACGATCCTGAGTCCGGACCCCTTTGCATTCAAGGCACCATCCGTAAAGAGGGTCCAGATTCCCAAGGAAGTCCCCGAGGTTAATAACAATTCCTTTTCGACTTCGGGTATTAAGGTCGGCGTATCGGCCACGAAGTCAGCCAAAATTTGGTATTTAATGGCAATTCGGGATCGATATTCGATATCGTACCCGCTAATTTATACGTCCCATTTGGCCAATCGGCCTGAGAGCTCATGTTTGTGCATTATTTTGCTTATTGGCTAGGAAGTTACGACGCATATGGGGTGGTATTGAAAATATGACTAACTTTTTGGAGGCGCTTAGCAAAGAGAACGCCAATTTTTCTAGGTGAGGGTACCTTGTTTCGGCCTCGCCTAGAGTTCTACTAACATAGTAGATAGGAAATTATGTACCTTCCTCTTCCCGGACTAAGACTCCACTTACCGCTATTTCAGATACCGCTAAGTACAGGTACAACTGCTCGTCTGCCTTCGGAGTATGGAGCAAGAGTGGACAAGAAAGGTACCGTTTGAGTTCTTCCAAAGCTTGTTGGCACTCCGGGGTCCACAAAACGTTATTCTGCTTCTTCAATAATGAGAAGAACTGATGGCTCTTATCGGAGGACCTTGATATGAACCGGCCCAGGGTGGCTATGCGCCCGGTTAGCCTCTGAACGGCCTTGACACTGTCCACCACTGTGATATCTTTTATAGCTTTGATTTTGTTGGGATTGATCTCGATCCCTCGGTTGGACACCATGAATCCAAGGAACTTTCCGGATCCGACCCCGAATGCGCATTTCTCCGGGTTCAGCTTCATATTGTATTTCTTCAGTATCTTGAAGGTTTCCTGCAAATGTTTCAAATGGTCCTATGCTCGCAGAGACTTAACTAACATGTCGTCAATGTAAACTTCCATTGATTTTCCTATTTGTTCTTCGAACATCTGGTTAACTAGGCGTTGATAAGTGGCACCGGTATTTTTTTAGTCTGAACGACATTACGTTATAACAGTAGGTGCCGAATTTAGTGATAAAGGAAGTTTTTTCTTGATTGCCTGGGTCCATCCGAATTTGGTTGTACCCGGAATAGGCATCGAGAAAGATGAGTATCTCATGCTCGGTCGTTGCATCGATCATACGATCGATGTTAGGCAAAGGAAAAGAATCCTTGGGGCACGCCTTCTTTTAAGTCCTTGTAATCTACACACATTCTTAATTCATTTCCCTTTTTAGGCACTACTACTACGTTAGCCAACCAATCTGGGTACTTAACTTTCTGAATGGAACCTATTCTAAGGAGTTTAGATACCTCGTCTTTGATGAATGCATGCTTGACTTCAGACTGAGGCCTCCTCTTCTGTTTAACCAGGTGGAACTTCAGATTCAAGCTTAGCTTATGAGTGGTTATTTCTGGCAGGATCCCTGTCATGTCTAGATGGGACCAAGCGAAACAATCTATATTAGCTATAAGGAAATTAATAAGTTTTCTCCTGAGCTCGGGAGTTAACCTCGTGCCCAGGTATACCTTCTGATCGGGCAAGTATTTGATCAGTATGACTTGCTCCAGCTCTTCGACCGTTGATTTGGTGACATCGAAATCGTCAGGGGTGATAAACGACCTGGGAACTCTATAATCACTATCCTTGCTTGCTTCTTGATTCTCCGGTTCGGTCAGGGCCGGTATCGGTGATTGCTATTTAGTTTCTTACTTCCTAACCGGCTCCGGGTTCTTTGATGTCGAGAGTGCGGATATTGGGATCACCTCATCAACCGCGAATATTTCTTTTGTGGCTGGTTGCTCTCCGTAAATTGTCTTGATCCCTCCCGGTGTGGGGAACTTCAGTGCCTGGTGTAGTATCGAGGGTATTGCCCTCATGTTGTGCATCCACGGCCTTCCGAATAGGGCATTATATCTCATATCCCCATCGATCACGTAGAACTTCGTTTCTTGAATGGTCCATGCGGTGTTCACCGGCAGGATTATCTCTATTTTAGTAGTTTTGCATGCCATGTTGAATCCGTTTAAAACCCGGACGGCGGGAACTATTTGGTCTTACAGACCCAGTTGCTCTACGACCCTCGATCTGATTATATTGGCTGAGCTACCGGGATCAATTAACACACGCTTAACTTGAGATTTATTTATGAGTATAGATATTACCAGTGCATCATTATGCGGTTGCACGATGCCTTCATCATCCTCATCGTTGAATGAGATGGTCCCCTCCGGCATGTAGTCTTGGGTTTGTTTTTCCCTTGTAATGGATACCTCAGTGTGCTTTAGCATTGGTCCCTTAGGGGATTTCGACTCCACCAATAATCATGTTGATGACGTGCTAAGGTTCCTCTCGCTCGATCTGTTTGTTGGAGTCCCTATTCCTGAAGTGATTTTTGGCTCGATCGCTTAGAAATTCCTGGAGGTGCCCGTTATTGAATAATCGGGCCACTTCTTCTCTTAGTTGTCAGCAGTCTTCAGTCCTATAGTCGTGAGTGCCATGATACTTACATATCAGGTTGGGGTCTCTTTGGGCAGGATCGGACTATAGTGGCCGAGGCCACTTGGTATCTTTGATGTGTCCGATGGCAGATACGATATCGGCAGCATCGACAGTGAAGTTGTATTCCGATAGTCTCGGTGCCTCTCTGGCCCCGAATAGCCTGTCAAAACCATTTTTACTCATGAGTCCCCTGCTATTGTGGCCTCGATCGCTCTTTTTTTTTCATTTCTCACAGGGTTACGTCCGGATCCGCTACCCCTTCGATCTTCTCTATATGGTTGATATCGATCTCTGTTTGGTCTTGGTTCATGACCGACGACTCTTTTAGACCTGTAATTAGTTCTGATGGGATACACGAACACGGAGGGGGCTCCGAACTTATCATCCTCGACTCTGATTTTTGATTGGTACCTGTTATGGACGTCAGCCCAAATTACCGTCGGGTACTCTATCAAATTCTGTTTCAGTTGCTGTGAATCCAAGGAGCTTTGGGGGTTGAGTCCTTGAGTGAATGCCTGAACGGCCCAATCGTCCACAATTGGAGGCAGGTCCATTCGTTCCATTTGAAACCTCGACATGAATTCCCCGAGCATTTTGTTATCTCTTTGTTTCACTTAAAAGAGGTCCGATTTTCTGGCCTCGACCTTGATGGCCCTGGCCTGAACTTTTACAAAGGCATCTGCAAGCATAGCAAGCAAATCAATCGAATTAGGGGGTAGGTTGTGATACCATATTACCGCTCCTTTCGACGGGGTTTCTCCGAACTTTGTCAGCAGAACCGACTCAATTTCGTCATCTTCTAAGTCATATAACATACACATTCTATATATATATTTGGCTAACAAATGCAATTAGTTTCGACCGGTCAGTTAATTTTATATTTTTTCCTTAAAATAGGAATGACCCAACCCAGCCTGACCCAATAACCATATACGCAAGTTAAAATAATACAAAAAGTTAATTCTTCCCCCATAAAAAACTTAGGTCGGAATGCATGAGATTCTAACACAAAAATAAAGAAATAAAACGTATAATTAGAGAGCACTCGAAATAAAAATGCTATCAATTTGAATAAAAATCTTGAAAAAAGAAGAAGATAGAAGTAACATGTTTTGAAGAATTTACTATTCACTTTTAGTATTATTTTAGTTTTTATATATGAGTATTGTGTTGGGTGGGCCAGGTCGAGTTGGGTCATCCCTATTTTAATTGGTTATCATTTCTTAGACTGAAAATAAAAAATAAAAACCACAAAATAAGAAAATACTACTAAAAATTATATTTTTCAATCACTATAATGTTGTGTGAGTTAGTAAAAGTTTTATAATTTTTATGTGAGAAAATATAGTTATATGACTTTGGGGGAAAAATCATAATTATATTATTTTTGTGTGAAAAAATAAAGTTATATGACTATGATGAAAAAAAGTTATAGTTATATGACCATTTGTGAAATTTATCCTTAATTCATGTCTATTGTCATCCCAAAAATAAATAAAAAATAGATTTAGCACTTCAGGGAAAAAAATTAAAATGCTCGGAAAGTTAGTCGGGCAAAGATCTAAAAATGAAAGTTTTGGGAGAAAAAATCCTCTTTCTTTCACGAAACTTGTAACGATTAAAAAAGTAGTTAGAAGCAAATAGTGATGGGAAAATAATGAAAGGGACAAGGGTACACCGTTATGCTGAGAAAAACTCTGACGATACTCTCATCTCCATCTCCCGTTTTGTACGGTCTCCGACTTACGTCCAACCTCTTCCCCTAACGGCTGTTTCTCTCTCTCTCTCTCTCTCCATCTTATTCTTTTCTTTGCCCCCACATTTACAGTAACCTTTTGTTCTTCTTTTGCGCACACATCCCCCTATTCCTTCTTTATCCCAGATCCTCCCCCCCCCTCCTCTCTCTCTCTCTCTCTGTTATCCTTTTTTTCATATCTCAGACCTGGTTTTCAAGAAGACGTATATATCCAATCCAATCTTAAAGCTCTTAGATAAACACCAATTGCAACAAACCCTTTTTCTTAAATTTTTTTTTTAAACGGCACCATTGATATTCCCACTTCAGCTCTATTTTACGAGTCAAGAATTCCCCCATGTTCAATGGGAATGAATCTTTATTATTATCATCAACAAACATTTTCCGTTGTTGTAGATTGTAGATTTTTACTGCTAATTTAGCAATCAATCTATTAAACAATGGACAAACACCGTAGTAGATGGACATATTCAATCACGAAGCTTATTTTCTGGACCACACTTTTTGCAGGTACCATTCTTTTCATATGTTTCCACTCTCCTCCTTCTGATTCCCCATCTATCCACCCCAAGATGAAATGGGGCAGCCCACAATGGGAAAAGCGTGTCAAATCCTCTGCCCGATCTCGTTCCGGTCATTTTACCATCCTCGTCACCGGTGTTGCCGGTTTCGTCGGGTCCCACGTTTCCGCCGCCCTGAAACGGCGCGGGGACGGCGTCGTCGGTCTGGACAATTTCAACAGCTATTACGATCCATCATTGAAAAGAGCTCGTCAGAAATTGTTAGAACGTAATGGGATTTTTGTTATTGAAGGTGATATTAATGACAGTCATTTACTCAAGAAGCTTTTTGACATTGTGGCATTTACTCACGTAATGCACTTAGCTGCACAAGCTGGCGTTCGTTACGCTATGAAAAATCCTGGTTCTTATATCCACAGTAATATTGCAGGTCTCGTTAGCGTTTTCGAGGCCTGTAAATCAGCTAATCCACAGCCTGCAATTGTTTGGGCATCGTCTAGCTCTGTTTATGGACTTAATTCTAAAGCACCCTTTTCAGAAAAAGATCGAACGGATCAACCAGCAAGTCTTTACGCCGCCACAAAGAAAGCTGGTGAAGAGATTGCTCATACTTATAACCATATCTATGGTCTTTCAATTACAGGGCTGAGATTTTTCACTGTTTATGGACCCTGGGGTCGGCCTGATATGGCGTATTTCTTCTTCACAAAGAATATATTAAAGGGAAAGAGTATTAATGTGTTTGAAGGTTCTAATAATAAAAGTGTAGCAAGGGATTTTACTTACATTGATGATATAGTGAAAGGGTGTTTAGGGGCATTGGATACAGCTGAGAAGAGTACAGGAAGTGGTGGGAAGAAGAAGGGAAATGCGCAATTGAGAGTGTTCAATTTGGGGAATACTTCACCTGTTCCAGTTACTAAGCTGGTTAGTCTATTGGAGAAGTTGCTTAAAGTAAAGGCTAAAAAGAATGTGTTGCCATTGCCAAGAAATGGGGATGTGATGTTTACTCATGCTAATATTAGCTATGCTCAAAAGGAATTTGGATATAAGCCTAGTACAGATTTGCAGATGGGGATACAGAAGTTTCTTAATTGGTATCTTGATTACTATTCAATTAGTGAGAAGAAAAAGAGTTTTTGGTGACATTACTAATGAAGCTTTTAGCTACTGAGCAAATAGATGTACCCAAAACAGAAAGTAGGAGGGTCTATGAGCTTGGCACAAGAAAATATCGAAAACTTGTATAGGTATTTTAATTTTTAGTGGACCGGAATATTTGATTTTCCTTTATTTTTTTAACCTTGAACAACTGTATTAATGACTTCCAGTTGGGGAGATTTCATTATGTTAGTCATCTCACAGTCTTAATGAATTGTGCTTCCTTCTTTACTGTCCCTCATCAAAATTTACTTCCATTTTTTCATGTCTTTTATTGCTCTTATGATGATTATGTTAATGCTATTTAGGACTGCATTTGCATGCAAGTCAATCTGGGGGCATGTGTGGATTCATATTATGCGCCTTAGCCATTATTTCATGAACTTCGAGTTGTTCCATGTATTTCGGGCCCTTCTTTATTGGACGAAGAACGTAAGAAGTCAACCAACAATTTGATTCTATCTTAAAACTCTGCACAGCCAAAAGATCTTCGGCTTACTCTACAAAAGTGATCAAAAGCCCAAAGTTATCCTAAGATTATTTTAACTTGCCGAACAAAGTGAAATGCCAGTGGTCGCATCTCACTTGTTCATTTTAAGGCATAGTAAGGTAGGCTGTTTAGCAACATGCACACAGACGCATCATTCACGATGTGGATCCCAAATAGTAAACATTTCTGATTCTATTTTGTTGATAGATGATAATTGCTTACTTGTGGTGAGACAGTTTGCAGTTTGAGTCAAACTATTATCTAATTGGCTTTTGAATCTTGTGCTCATGCCCAAGAAAGATATAAGGATTGGAATTCAGACTATTGGAAAGTGAGTTTGATCAAAACTCAACTGATGTCTGTTGTTTAATTGTTCCAGCTACGGAGGATTTGCAGCAAAATTTTGTCAAAGCAACATGAAGATGGGTCATTTTGTAGGACCGTACACCAAAATCCTAATTGTGCTCATGTTGGTATTAATTCTTCCAAAAAGGACATCCCCAAATAGAAAGCTGTTTTGTGATCATAATACACAAGTGTCGAATAGCTGTACTAACTTATTATGCGTTTGGCAAATTAATTATTAAAAATAGACCGGGCTCATACTGTCAAAGAGCTTATGAGTTTGCATCTTTTTCATATACAAAATAAAATAGCATTTACTCAAAAGTAATTATCTACTTGAGAATTCTCATCTTAGTAAGCTCTTCAACGCACTCGCATGTGTAAATTAGAGCAGCTACATGAGGAATGTGGTGTCATTGATCATACTTCTTAAAGGTTCATGTATTTTATTGATGAGGAATAATTTTCAACGTGTACATTTTTTGAAGCTCAAACACGAAACAACCGGAAGAACTTGAGAGAATCTTGAGTGTAACAATGTCAGGCACTTGAAGAGGGAGAGCTAGAGGGCCAGAAAGTTGTGCTTTCCATTTACCCTGCTTATTTGGGCGAGATAATGAGTAACTAGATTGAAGTGTACACACAGATATCCCTGGAAGTTTTAAGGTCATCACCATAACTGAGCTAAAAATTCGAACGAAGGGCACAAGACAGGGAAAAACCCAACAAAAACTGCCTTCAACTTAAGCTATGTGGTCTTGGCTCGCACTACTCACAGGTTCTGATATGCAATAACTATTAATTCCTGAATATCATGTAATCTTTTTGGGCAAAAGATCTAAAAATTTGAATCAACATTTCCGCAAGAACATCGGAAATGTGAGAAACAGGACCAGGTTGACACACTTAGTATACATCAAAAGTTCGTTGTGAGATAATGATACCCAAGATCAAGAAAATAATCTGATTCAGAATGGTGACGCCTTAGTGATGACCATTTTTGCTGTCGCTATCCATTTCCTCTGCATCTTCAAACCTTTGATCATTAATTTGAAGCTGCAGTAAGAAAAGTAAACGTCTCAATTCTCAAACCTTTGCCAATATATGCACTAGAAGTTCCATGTGAAACAACTAGAGCAGAAAGCATGAAGATGCTCTTATGTCATATCTCAACCTACTCTTATAGACCTGAAAGTGAAACCACTCCCCACCCCAAAATAATAATAATAATAATAATAATAAACAAACTTAGACGGCGAGGTGTATTATAGAAGGGCTCAGCATATGCCAGAGCTATAGTGAAATTGCACATGCAATTATTGATAATAGTTTATCTAGCATCAATCTAAAAACATGAGGAGTTACTTGAGACAATCAGCCAAGAGGAGCTCCCTTGACAGTGCCTGCCAAATATATAGCGAGACTCTGCCTGTCACTCTAGAAACTAAGTATTTAATTTGTTCATCTCCCATGCCACCCAAACCCAACAACCTACCAACAAGCCAAACAAAAGACAAATGACAATAGAATAATCACAGTTCTTAAGTTCAAGTCTCAAACCAAATCAATAACAGGCATACCTGAAGCACAGTATGAGCTAAGTCGTGATCTCCATTTGAATGACCAATAGAATGTGTCAGATTCTGAGAAAACGTCCATTCAGATTCTTCCTCTTCAAAAGTTAGACCAATAACAGTAGAAGTTAGTTGGCAAAACAAAAATTGGTTTCTTAAAACAAACAATTGCCTATCAATTCCATACCAGCTTCCTGATTTTCCAGCTGATCTGCACTGAAGATCCAATTATGCTCTTCTTCCTCCCCTGGAAAAAGCAATACCAGGGTTTAGTCAAGTAGAAACATGACTGGTCAGAAGAAAATGAGAAAAAGATGTTTGTTTGGAGTATGTCCAAAGAAATAAATAACCACCTTCAATTGGTTCAGGATTAAGCTCAGCACATTCACAAAAGATCTGGAAGAGAGTATCCACTGTCAAAATAGAACATACAAAGCAAACATATCTTTAGGAGCTGAAGTAGCACAAGGCATTTATCCTAGATGACAGATTTCAAGGACAACTCAAGTAAAAACAATGAGCAAAAATGCAGTACATTGATCAGGATCCGATGGCACAAGTCTCAACTCCGTGATCCTTGATAAATCTGATGACTCATCACCCCCATCAGTGGAGCCTTCTGATTCATCATCCTCCAATCCATTGTCAATCTTCAAGAACAAAGCAAAATATATCCATCATTTTCATAACAGAGAAAGCAATCACATTTGCAAAATGGAACAAATGTTTATCCAACACCCACACTCAGTTCCCCTTCAGAAAAGAAAATAAATCAAATGATCATACAAAACTTTAAACGAGCCTGAAAGAAAGTAATTGTGTTACCAAACACTCACTAATAATGAAAACCAAAGACATGCCTTAACAGAATGAACACATGCATAACAATCATGAAACCACCTCATCAAGGTAAAATATGCAGAACAATCATGCAGCCAACCCCAAATGATCTTCCAGCTTCACTGAACAGATAGCATATGCTAGCCTATCCTAATTTTTTTTCTGGATCCTATTTTGTCAAGATGAAAGAAATTGCATTTTTACCCGAGTAGAGGATGTCCAACTATATACTCACCGCGTGAGATAGCTTACTGACAAATGAAAAAAGAAAAACGTAAACAGCAGGATGATACTCCATGCTCAAGTAAACAGGAAAACTAAAGATGCATAAAAACAAACCGAGAAACTAAACTTAAATAGAATGTCCAAGTTACCCTATTGAATGTAGTGGAGTTGTATACTTTTCTACACTCCTCAATAGGACTAATGGAGAGGACAACTGAACCAATTAGTTTTAACCAACTGAACCAATTAGGGGAGGAATGCTTGAAATCTAAGAATCCTATCTATTCAATTATTCTGTTAAATGGTATGATTGCTGATTTTCACAGAGGCAGGACGGCAGGTGGAGCTCAGAAGAAACTTGAATGACTGGGAGGTAGATGATTATTGTCTTTTACTTCAACAGCTTGACTTAGTCTCAATTAATCATAGTAAGGTGGATGCACTGATCTGGGCAGATGGTAAGGATAAAAGTTTCCAGTCAAAAGTTGTTATAATATGCTGATTAAGAAGTCAAGTCACAGGGTTGACAATTGGCCTTGGAAGATGATTTGGAAGAAAAAAGCTCCAGTCAAGGTGGCATGCTTTGGATGGATAGCAGCTTGCGAAACATGTTTGACACAAGATAATTTGCAAGAAAAGGGGTTTTAATCTAAGTAATAGATGCTATATGTGTGAAGGAGATCAAGATTCAGTGAATCATATTCTTCTCCACTGTAGAATTGCTAAACAATGCTGGGACTTGTTCTTAAACATTTTTGGTATCTCTTGGGTAATGCCACAGACCGTTAGGAGTTTGTTGGAAGAGTGGCAAAATCAAAGAGTATCTAGAAGACTGAAAGAAAATATGGAGAACCATTCCATTGTGCATATTCTGGACTTTATGGTGGAAAGGAACCGTGCTTGTTTTGAAGGACACAAGGATCACATTTTTAGAATTAGAAACAAATGTATTACCTGTTTTATTGGTGTAAAAGCAGTGTACCAGTGGAACAACAGTTTATAAATTTTCTGGATTTACTAGGAGGACTGTAGGAGATGGTTATTTCTGGGGTGCTCTTTGTAATATTTTGTACCATCTTGCTACCTTATTAATGAAACTTTTACCTTATCTTAAAAATAAAAAAAACACAAAATAGTTATCTTTACAAGCTTCCCCCAAATAAAATACAAAACAAGAACCTAAAGATTTTAATAGTTGTTACCAAGTTACCCAAATCCAAAACACAGAAATTATTTTTTCCATAAATCTAAAACAATTGTGATTGCAGCTTTTCAGATACCTGGTTTCCTTTCCCAATTCAGAAAGTTCTTAGTTAGTTATTCAAATGCCAACTCAAAAAACAGCAGGATGAGGGTATTCCGCCTAAATAGCAAACAAGGGTAATAAATAAGGAATACTAGATATCCAGGACATAATTTGTCAATGCTAACACAAGGTACTTGTTTCGATAAGACGCGAAGCGCTGTTAACGAGAGGTTGGCGCCTTGGCGGTTTGGAGACAGGCCCTTGAGTCTAAGGGTTTCAAGTTAAGCAGGATTAAGACGAAATATCTGGAGTGCAAGTTCGGCGCGAAGCCGAGGGAGGGCACAGAAGTGAGGCTTGAATCACAAATCATCCCCAAGAGAGGCAGTTTCAAGTACCTTGGGTTGGTTATCCAGGGGGGTGGGGAGATAGACAAGGATGTCTTACTCCAATACCGTATTAGGGTGGGGTGGATGAAATGGAGATTAGCATCTGGAGTACTGTGTGACAAGAAAGTGCCTCTGTTACTCAAAGGTAAGTTTTATAGAGCAGTGGTTAGACCGGCCATGTTGTATGGTGCAGAGTGTTGGCTAGTTAAGCACTCACATACCTAGAAGATGTCAGTAGCAGAAATGAGGATGTTGAGGTGGATGTGCGGGCACACCAGGATGGATAAGATTAGGAACGAAGAAATTCGGGAGAAGGTGGACGTGGCTCCTATGGATGACAAGATGCGGGAAGCGAGGCTTAGATGGTTCGGGCACGTACGGAGAAGAAGCCCAGATGCCCCGGTAAGGAGGTGTGAGCGGTTGATTTTGGCGGGTACGAGAAGAGGTAGAGGGCGGCCTAAGAAGTATTTGGGGAGAGGTGATCAGACAGGACATGGCGAGGCTTCAGATTTCCGAAGACATGGCCCTTGATAGGAAGGTGTGGAGGTCGAGCATTAGAGTTGTAAGTTAGGAGGTAGTTGAGCATCTATTCTCTGTTTCTTATGTTGTTGCCATTATTTCTATTGTTTTCTGTTGATAATACTGATATATTGTCTCTCTTCTCGTCTTCTTGAGCCGAGGGTCTTCTGGAAACAGTCTCTCTACCCCCTCGGGGTAGGGGTAAGGTCTGCGTGCATTCTAACCTCCCCAGACCCCACTTGTGGGATTTTACTGGGTTTTTGTTGTTATTGTTGTTGTAACACTAGGTACTTATTAGGTAGAATATAACTACTCAATCTGATAGAATGTTTTTTCTCTACCAAATTCAGACTACCAATCTAAGCCATTTCATGAATAAAATGCGACCAATTAATATAGGCCCCATTCTTTTTTAATTCTCATTTTTACTTAGTAGTCAATATTTGATATCATTATGCTCCCTGCATTCCCAATATCTCGCGAAGTTAAACAATCCCTCTGTTATACTATGGAATATTTATGACCAGAGAACTAGGAACTTCCTCTTGTCAAGTGGCGTTAGGCGAACTTACTTAATTCTTATTGTCATTTGCATTATACTAGCTGAAAATTTTAAGCAAAAGCAGCATGGGATGATACCTCTTGAAGCAAGATATATCCGCCTCTGATAGCATGGGTGAGAACCTTTTCGGTCAGATATTTAAAAGGGAAATAATCATAAGGAGAGAAATAATCATAAGGAGAGACGCTTAAATAATCACTTCAGTATATTCCTAACCCTTTTTGATTACTATCAGTTCCATTTCACGACCAGCAATTCTTAAAATTACATCAGAAATTAATCCAAATATAGGTAGGTCAATTTGCTTCTACAAAATTTGGGACATTCCAATTTCACAAAGAACAGAAATTAATCTTCATTTTTTTGGCTCTCTTGCTAATATAGAGTGAAACGTAAAACCTCAACTAACGGAAATAATATACTCCGTATTTACATTTCGAAAGGAGATTTTACCTGAGCGTATAAACAAGGATCCTGATACGCCTCGGGGTCCCTAGACACAGCATGCAGTGAAACCGACAAGAAATCAACTGCATAACCTTTACTCCTATCTGTATCGCTTAGCCACACCACTTGCCTGGTAAATATTTTACGAATTACAACCAAACTCAACGACTGATTCGATTCGAAAAGGCATAAATACAGAAACAAACAAAAGATAAATCGAAGGTCGAGAAGTTACTTAGTGGTGATGTAGAGAGTGCCAGGGGACTCAGGCTGGCGGCTGCCGAGGACGATGGCGGTTCCAGGCTGAACGTGCATGAGTTCCTCGCCGTTGTCGGCGTCGAGGACCGGCTGCCCGGCGCCGTCACCGGTTCTTTCAACGAAGAACCTCAAGCCTGACATATTTTCCATTTAATTGATGTTTACTTAGCTCCGGCAGAAAAGGAATTGGAGACTGGTAAAGGCTCTGCTAGACTGCTGCTCTAGGGTTTTGGTTGGGCGCCAAAATTATTTTCGACAACATTTTGCACCGCTATAAGAAGGTTCTGGACTGTTCGTTTCTAGTGGGTCTGCGCAGCGGTGTTCGTGAAAAAAAAAAACGAAAAATCGAACCAAATGGACTAAAAAAAATTAATACTTTTTAGGTTTGGTTTGGTTTTGATTTTAAATTTTAAATACCGATCAAATTTGATTTGATTTTGGTTTTAATAAAAAAATAACCGAAAAAAACCGACTATAAAAGTAGATATATATATATGTATATTTTTATATAAAGTTTCTCAAATTTTATGGTATATATTAGTCATTTGTATTTTTGATCTAGTTCTTTGCTGTTATAATAATCTAATTATGTGTCTTCTAGTTTGATTGGTAGTTTTCTTTTGCTAAGTACAAGAATTTATTTCATGTTAAAAATAATCGATTTTTAATTGAGTACTTAAATTATTCATCACTATTTGACTCAATTATCATCAATATATCTTGGTAAATGATAGATTTCTCAAAGAGCAATTAGTTTGATAGTATTACATTGGAAATGTAGTCGACGGAATATGCGTTTGGTAGTGTATGTCTCATATTTAAGAAAAAATTGATAAATAACCAAAAAAACGACAAAAACCGAATCGATAAAAAACCGACTTAATTGGTTTGGTTTGGTTCCAATATTTGAAAAATCGACTTACTTGGTTTGGTTTCTTTTTAGAGAAAAACCGACTCAAACCGAACCATGAACACCCCTATCTACGCGGCCTAGCGTTTGGCCATATATTCCCAAATTTGTTCTGAAAAATCTTATTTGGTTGAAGTTTGGTTTGAAGATGAAAATGTGTTTGGACATCAGTTTTCAAAACATATTTTCCAAATTTATTTTGAAAAAACATGAAACATGATTTATACACACAAGTTCTAAAAATATCACAAATACCCAACAGTATCATTATCAATAACATTCATTATATTATCGCAAACCATAGTCCTGAACATAAATAAATTTGATACAAAATTATCATTTTTATAATGAACTACATGATACACTGTCAGGTGACCGAGAACACGAAACAACATTGTTATAAAATAATAAATTGTGGGCTCTTTTATAAAATATAAAAGTTTGGGGCAATTTTTTAAAAATGTAATAGATATTTTGGCCCAAAATATCTATTTTGGCTCAATGTAATAGATATTGAGCTGGTTTTGGGATTTAGGATTTTGCCAAAATGTAGGCAAAATCTATGGCCAAATATGTATTTGTCAAATAAAACCCAAATTTATTTTGGCAAAATCTATGACCAAACGGGTCCTAAGGTTTTAGAGTAACAAGAATATTCAGTAGACGTTTGGACGTAAAACAAATATGAGATTTTAAAAAAAAGTAAGTTTTGAAGTTAAATTGAAAAAATATATTTGAAAATTAACACTGTGATTGGATATTGTATAGGGTAAAATATGTTCATATTAAATACTCGCATGATAAAGTCCGAGGCGGAGCTAGGATTTTAACCTTATGGGTTCGAGATTATAATCCTTTTAAGTTACTAGATTCTAAATTAATAATTTGTACATATTAATTGGATTTCTTGATACAAATACAGGATTTGAACAAAAGCTACTGGGTTCGGCCGAACCCGCAACCAACAATGTGGCTCTGCCCCTGGATAAAGCGATATGTGAAGCCGAATACAGAGAGCAATCAAGTCAGAAGGCAATGATCTCGTTTGTTCCCGAAGGGAATGGTGTTCTTAAAGGCGATATAAATGCATGTCACCCGGTAGCATTTAATAAAAAATATTCTATAGCATTAAGTACATAGTCTGTTACAGAGAATATGCATTAACTGCCTACCGTTGCATATTCTTCAATGGCCCTCATATCATTTAATAGGAGCTTGATCCTAGTACCTTGTTCCCTAAGTCAAGTATAAATAGTGAGCTCAACAACCATTGTAAAGGACGCGAACTTTATGACAAGCTCATACTATACTTTGTTCAAACCTCAATAATATTTTATCTTCTTGCTTATTAATATTGTTACTACCGCCTCCGGAAGCTCTACTCCCGGAACCAGAATTTATGTTGTCTTATCTCGATTTCAACGCTAAGTTTTGCATTCTTGTTTAATTTATGTATTATTTTGGGATCAAATCGATTCACTTGTCCATAAACCAGGTATAAATTTAACTGTATTGTTTTACGGGTAAACAGTTTAGTGTCCACCGTGGGGATTAGACAGTTGTGTAATTGAGTTGGTACTTGCATCTATTACTAACCTATTTGATTCTTTGTTCTTAGGAAAAATCATAGAAAATGGCAAATGACGATGTCAACATCGCACACAACGTTGAAGCCCAAGGAAATCTGCCTCAGCACGAAGATTCGATCAACGATACCCGCGACGAGGGGGATGAGGCCATGCCGGTCCATGACAGGCAATATCTACGTCATGTTGGAGACGCAACTCCTAATGATGTTGAATAAGAGCATGTCTATGAAACAGTAAGGATCCTAAGGGAGCAACAAAAAAGCTATTATGGGCCATAATAGCTTTTTGGTGCTCAATTGTCTTCCAAAAAGAAAGGATGTTGCTCCCGGCCGTATCAGACAAATGGGCAGTGGAAGCATTCATAAAAGGGCTGAATCCGAGAAGTTTCTATGCTTCCCGGAAGTTAAAAGAAAGTTTGTTCGAGTTCCAGGCAACAACATAGGCGGTTGTTCACTATCGATATGAGTCAAAGATAAGAATTGAGGATGATCAGCTCGGTTACTCGGCATCAATCAAGGGTCGGGACTGAGAGAATAATAAGGAGAAATCAAGGGATGATTTTGACAGTTTTCAAAGGGTCGGTTTTTGCCCTACGAATAGGCCAAAGGACGCGACAGAGGTTTTCGGTCGGCGGATAGATTCGCTACCGATAGAAGAATGGATCGTGGCCGAAATAACAGGTCGTTGTAGGACAAGGAGATATCAAATTCCCAAGATTCCTCCTACCCTAGGCTATTCGAGTATAACTTCAACATCGACGTAGTGGGGCTAGCGTCGGCGATGAGAAATAACATTAAGGAAGCATAGTTTCCCGAAGTCAATGAGATCCGATATCAGTCAAAGGGATTCTAATTTATTGTGCGAATACCATGGGACCAACAGTCACCGTACAAAGGACTGCCGGCATTTGCGTGAGGAGGTGGCGATATTGCTGAAAATGACTATCTCAGAGAATTCTTAAGCGGTCGGGCTAGGACCAACTACGGTCGCAATCGTGATAACGCTGAACCTTCGAAAGGAGAAGAAGATCCTCCACGTTTGACGATCAACATAATCTTCGGGGGAAACGAGATTAATGGTGTGACATTTTCGGCGGTAAAAAAGACGAAGGTGTTGATAACCCACAGTAAGAGACTCCGGGAAGTCGCTGAGGACTACATTACTTTCACGGAGGAAGACGCAGACGGACTAATGCTGTCGCACAACGATGCCTTGGTAATCTCTTTAAATGTCTTAGATTTTAAAATTAAACGAGTTTTGGTGGACCCGGGAAGTTCAGGCAATAGTATCCAGTGGAGAGTGCTCGAGCCAGCCAAGCTGACTGGAAGTTTTATTCCGGCCACAAAACTCCTGCCAGGGTTCAATCTGGCAAACGTGACTACCCGAGGATATATCTTACTGTCCATGAATGCTTAGGGGGTGATGAAGACGACCTCTTTCGAGGTAGTAGACGGCAATATATGTTACAATATTATCCTGGGAAGATCATGGTTGCACAAGATGAAGGTCATGTCGTCAACGTATCATCAATTACTGAAGTTCCCAACTCCCAAGGGAATTAAACAAATAATATGAGACCAACCGGCGGCAAGGGAGATGAACGCAAACTCAGTTTCTAGTAGCAAAGGGAAGGAACATGTAGCATAGCAATTACAGGAACCATCGCCTGCTCCCGAGACGAGCGAAGTCAACTAGAGGGAGAAGCCGTCGAAATCCTATCAGGTACCAAGATATTTCCAAGTACCAGAAGAAACGGACACAATAAAATCCATAGCGGAAGAACTTGTGCAAGTTGCATTGTTCAAAAAGTTCTCAGAGAGGAAGTTCCACTTGGGGATTGGACCGAACCCCAAACTCAAGTCTGGATTTATCGAATTTTTTAAATTTAACGTTGACTATTTTGCGTGGTCGCATGTAGATATGACAGGTATCCCGCTTGAAGTGGTCGTGCATAAACTAAGCCTGGATCCTAACATCCCTCTGGTAAGGAAGAAAAGACGTCCTATCGCTGAGGTCATAAACAAATTCGTCAAAAAGAAGTAACTCGTTTGCTTGATATCGGTTCAATCTGAGAGGTAAAGTATCTTCACTGGCTAGCTAATGTAGTAGTAGTTCCAAAGAAAAATAATAAATTTCGCATGTGCATAGACTATATGGATTTAAATAAGGAGTGCCCCAAGGACTAGTTCCCATTGCCAAACATTGATCAAATGATCGACGCGACGACCAGGAACAAGTTAATGAGTTTCCTCGATGCTTACTCCGGGTACAATCAAATCAAGATGAACATGGAGAATCAGAAAAAAACTTCGTTCATAACGAACTTCGGCACATATTGTTATAATGTGATGCCCTTCTAGGTTAAAGAACATTGGAGCCACTTATCAGCGGCTCGTAACAAAATATTAGAGAAACAAATAGGGAAAATCATGGAAGTTTACATATATGATATGCTAGTTAAATCTTTGAATGCATGTGATCATCTTAAACACTTACAAGAAACCTTTGACATCCTCAGAAAGCATAACATGAATCTTAACCCCGATAAATGTGCATTCAGAGTCAGCTCTAGTAAGTTCTTGGGAATCCTAGAGTCACAAAGAGGAATCGAGGTCAACCCCGATAAAATTAAAGTCGTCAAAGATATCCCAAATCAGCTATCAAGCGTGAAAGAGGTTCAAAGGTTGGCAGGAAGATTGACCAGCTATCAAGCATGAAAGAGGTTCAAAGATGTTCCCTGTCTTTGGAAAAATGCCATCATTTCTTTCCACTCCTCAA